AGTGTCTAAACGACTAAATCACAACTCGTCAACGTACTGTTTAAATATAAGTCTTATTGAATTCTCTACTTCAAGTGGTGTCCGTCAGAGATGTCCACTTTCGCCATTCTTGTTTAATTTTATCATAGACATGCTCTCAGAAATAACCTAATCCTCGTCTGAATTTTCAGGGGTAGACCTTCTACCATGAGGATCGTTTATTGACTTAGAATATGCCGATGACATAGTCCTACTTGGTGAAGACGCTGACAAAATGCAAAGTCTTCAGACCACCCTAAGCAACAATGAAAGCATGTTCGGGATGCGGTTCTCACCCTTGAAATGCAAAATGTTGCTTCAAGACTGGGTTGCATCGGCACCTGAACTAGTGATAGGGAGTGAAGTAGTCGAGCGTGTAGACCGCTTCACTTATCTTGGGAATCTCATCAGTGCCGGTGGCCTGGTGGCTGACGAAATCTCAGCACGGATATAGAACGGTCGATTGGCTTTTGCCAACCTGCGTTACTTATGGCGTAGGCGTGATATCCGTTCGCTAACCAAAGGGCGAGTGTACTGTGCAGCAGTTCGCTCCGTTCTCCTATATGGCTGTGAAACATGGCCGTTAAGAGTAGAAGATGTTCGTAGGTTACTAGTATTCGATCATAGATGTTTAAGAAGCATTGCTCGTATATTGTGGGACAACCGAGTAAGCAATGCTGTCGTTAGGAAACGAGTTCTAGGTGATGATGGCAAATCAATAGATGAAGTAGTGAAACTTCAACAGTTGAGGTGGTTAGGACATGTGTTACATATGGCTAACCACCGACTGCCTCGACGAGCTATGTTTTGTGATGTAGGAGTAGGTTGGAAGAAATCTAGGGGCGGCCAAACCAAAACATAGTAGAAATCCATGAAGTCACTGACAAGTGGATTGAGTCATGTTGGTACATGTAGGCTACCTGGTTGGGGTCCGCGAGACGAAAGTCACCAGTGGTTAGAGACCTTGAACGACATGACTCAGAATCGTTTGCAATGACTCGGGTGCATCCTCTCGTTGTGTTCTATGAAATTCTAACTTTCTGAATTCCTCATAATCTCTATCTTTCTCTTTCTAAATTTATCTCATTGAATTATACTTCTCGAATCATATATTCGCTCCCTAATCTTCTCCATTACTGATAATACTTCTAATATCGCTATCACTCTTGGATTTGAACTGACAGTTGCGTCTCTGTGCTGATGGGTCATGGCAACCTGAACTGATGTACTTACGTACGAAGTTCTGCGTTGTGTCTGTCTGTCTGTCTGAATTTACTGGAAAAACGATTGTTTTACGATGAGATTCCTGTTAGTAGGTACAATACGAATTTGCTAGAGTTTAAGGTGAATTGGGCACTACTTTCAAGGGAATTCTAAGAATTTAGATAGAAAATATGCTTATCCTTGGAATTTCCTTTTTTTGGACACTTGATTTTGCCAATTAACGATGAGACATAAGAAATGTTCTCTATCTATTATTGTACACCCCTTAGACGTTTATATACATATATGTAATCCTGAAAATGAAAATTTATATATACACAACCATACAATTTTTTAAATACTTACGCGATTGTATATGATCAGGTCTCAATTGATGAATGGAATTATTAACCATATCATTTTTTAATATATGGGTATTTGATATATCTTGCACATTCTGTTGTCGAATAGCATCGTCATACTGAGTTACCACATTACGCTTAAAAAGTTTAAATAAAATGAAAAAAAAACCATTGACCGATAATAAATGTTGACGTTTGAGAATTGTCATTGTTACGCCTGCACGTAAACATGTCATTTTGATATGGTTGAACTATTACGAGTTTACCTTAGTCGGAATACGAGAGCGAGGATCGAGGATCCGGCGGCACGACATGCTACTCAAATCCGATTATCCCAACCCCCATATTGAGTAAAAATAAGAAGACTTGAATGTGAAGTAGAACCTGTATTCTACAAGCATCCAGAAAGTATGAGGTCCGAATCCGGAAGAGAATCAGGATCTCAGACTAGGGATCCGGGATCGGGTACGGGTCATAAAACGTTACAGATAACGCGAATTTTTACATTTTGGTCGAATAGGATACAGCATCGAAGTCTGTGACATTGACAGTTAAGACGACCAATAGGAAGCAACATTTGAAGTGACATTGATAGTCAGGACAACCAATAAGAAACAAGATTGGAGCACGTGACACTGATACCTAGGATGAACATAAAGTTGACCAGTAGGAATTAACCAATAGGAATAGACCAATAATTCTCTTAGGATATTCGATGAATATCCTAACAGTCACTTATCGTAACATAACTGACAATACCTTAGTCTACAACATGTAATGACTGGTGTCATTCATTCACTTTCATGTATGAATCAAAGGACAATGTGACTTCTAACTACTTTGGGCATCTGTCTTAAGAATCAAAATAAAACAAAAGAACCGAAGGAATCATATCAGTTTGAGAAAATGAGTAAAACGTCGAACAGTAAATGATGCGAACAGTGATCTTTGGCCAATGTAAATGAATTTTGATCGTTAAGCCTGAAATTCCCAATTTCCAATTCCACTACAGATAACGATACAAGTACTTCTCAGTCCTGAACTGAAATTGAACAGTCCTCAAGTGTCTCCTGGTTATCGATAATTTCCTAAATAGTTTAAAAGAATATGAGAGCTGTTTCTTTAGTTAACAATCACCTACCAATCCATAAAGTCACTGACAAGTGGATTGAACCGTGTTGGTATGTGTAGACTACTTACTAGGTTGGAGTCTGCGACACAATAGCAATCAATGGTTAGAGACTTTAAACGACATGGCTCAAAATCGTTTTGCAATGGCGCAAGTGCAAGCACTCTGTGTTCTGCCAAATTCTAATCTAAACTCCTCATGATCTTCAGTCTTTCTCTTCTCAAATCTATTTCACTGCATTATACATCTGGCATGATATCTTCGGACCATGATTTTTTTGATTACTGCTCATACATGTGCCAACCTGCGTCACTTATGGCGTAGGCGTGATATCCGTTCTCTAATCAAAGGACGAGTGTACTGTGCAGCAGTTCGCTCCGTTCTCCTATATGGCTGTGAAACATGGCCGTTAAGAGTAGAAGATATTCGTAGGTTATTGGTTTTCGATCATAGGTGTCTTCGAAGCATTGCTCGTATACCGTGGGACAACCGAGTAAGCAATGCTGTCGTTAGGAAACGAGTACTAGGTAACGATGGCAGATCAATAGATGAAGAGGTGAAACTTCATCAGTTGAGGTGGTTGGGACATTTCTTGCGTATGCCGAACCACCGACTGCCTCGACGAACTTTGTTTTGTAGTGTAGGAGTAGGTTGGAAGAAAGTTAGGGGCGGCCAAACCAAAACATGGCAGAAATCCATGAAGTCATTAACGAGTGGACTGAGCCATGTCGGTAATTGTCGACTACCTGGTTGGGGTCCGCGAGATGATAATAATCGATGGTTAGAGACCTTGAATGACATGGCTCAAAATCGTTCGCAATGGCGCCGGTGCATTTATTCTTTGTGTTCTCTCAAATCCTAATCTTCTGGATTCTTCAACACCTCTAGTTTTGACTTCCTAAACTTTTCTCACTGAATCATACTTCTTGAATAGTATCTTCTAACCCTAACCTCTCCGATTACTTCTAATTCCCTTACTACCTCTATTACTATTGGATTTGAATTGACAATTATATCTCTGTGATGATGTGGTATGGCAACATGAACTGATGTACTTACGTACGAAGTTCTACGTTGCATCTGACTGACTGACTGATATACATGTACTACATCTATCACTATTGGATTTGAATCGACAATTGCATCTCTGTGCTACCATGGCATGGCATTCATTCAGTTAACACTATCATTTTTAGTCTATATTGTATTATGGCATAATTCTAATGATATCTGAGAAATTCTTAGATCTTCTTAATAATTTGAGTAAAAAAGGAGTGAAGTTTATACTTTTTTTCTCTCCTCTTAAGAAAAAAGTTAGGATCAATAAATAGAAAACTCACTTGGAAATAACTGAGATTTTGGAGTTCTGACCGGTTGACTAATGAATCAGATTCTATGTTTGAAGTTGTACGAAAACAGTCAGAACTATTTGAATTGGAAAACGAATTATGACTTTGAACTGTACGTATCAGTCTTTCAGTATTTATGCCTATATGATATTCATCGTCTGGAGAATGTACTCTACACTGGAGATTAGTAGAAATATTAACATGCGAAGTATCGGAAGTAGAAAAAGATGGATGGGAGAGGGGCCAAATATTTGCATTGGATAAAACAGATTGATTACTTGGTTTATCACAAGTCCCATTTGATGTAGAAGTCATCAAAAGATGTCTTACAGTCGAAAAGCTATCACTAGTATTTTTAGGATGACTATTACTTTTTGTGACATCTAAACAATAATGGCTTCGTCCAGGTGGAGAATTTCGAGTTAGAGTTGAACTTTTATTCGTGGTATCTGAATGAACAATAGTATCATTATTTGGTAATGGTATTAATTCGTCCCGTTGTTCACCTATTTCACAATCGTACGAATAACCTCCGTCAGGATCACAAACATCTTCATCTTCATCATCAGAATCCCAACCAGATTCAATAAGATCACGACGGCGAGATAAGGCATTTGAGAGCTTCAAAATGAAAAGAGATGTTCAAGTATATTAAACGAATATTTTAAAAAAACAAACAACTTGATAACTACTTCAAATGGACAGTTTTAGATAAGAAAACAAAATGGATGGTTGTTTGAGATGCCTTTAACGTGTGGTTATACTTACTATAAATTGAAAACATGATGTGAGAAAACTCAGATAAACTAAGGAAGGATACAAATATAGAGAGTTATTAAACATTGGCTTGTTTTGTGACAAATCGCAGATTTTCTTATCACAGTCTGAGATATTAAAAATCTAGAATAACAAATCTGAGCGAACATAACATCTAATCAATCATAAACAACACCACCTGGAATATATGTGCATCGGTTCAAGTTGCCAGACTCGATTAGTACAGTGAGGTGAATTTTCAAACCGAGTTAGTGAACACTTCAAACAAATAAAGTTAGCATAAATAGATCCATTCTATATGGTTATAACGTTCAGAAAATTAAGTTAGGTTTGCTAGTACAACTACTATTATGGTGTGAGCTACTTATAAGTAGTATATGACGTGAGTGTCAACGTAATGTCTGGCAGCAGAAGATGGGGGGAAGATCAAGAAAGGAAGAGTTAGGACACAATGGAATTTGTATGAAACGCATGAATAGTGACAATGGATTGATGTTTTGCAACAGGAACAGTCCAGTTCGATCTGATGAAATGATAATTTGCAAATGAATGATTTACGATATGGTGTTCCGATTTTACTGAGTGACTCTGTAATTTCCGCTAAATACAATTCGGTTGCCCTACCTGTGATCTCGTTCACTACACTATTAGTAAAATGTTAGATTTCACTAGGAATTAACGATGTAAACAGTTCAAGATACTGGAATGTTCAACAAACAATGGACGGACGGGAATCAGTTGAGATTTATAATAACACAACGTATACAACGTAACTTAAGGAATAATTAACCGTTTAAAGTTTCTCTATCATTCATTTCGTCACATAAATGCATCCTATGTTTTCGAATATCTCTCCCGTAGGTCCAAATAGTTTTCTACATAATTTGCTGTGATATCATACCAATCATTAAGTGAATTCAGGGAAGCGCAAAGTTTAACTTTATCTCAGATAACAATAATGACAGCTTGTTTGTTTTAAACCAAAATATCTAACTAGATTTTTAAATATAAGGTTCACGACACACTACTTGATAAATAAGTATAGACCCAGATTGTAACTGGGCTTAAGAACACCTAGACTAGTGATTTCTAACCGTAATAGTCAAAGCCAACCAATATCCAAACAATTCAGTCAGTCAGTCAGTCAGATGCAACGTAGAACTTCGTACATAAGTACATCAGTTCATGTTGCCATACCACATCAGCACTGAGACGACATTGTCAATTCAAATCCAATAGTAGAAGAGGTAGTAAAGGTATCACAAGTAATCGGAGAGGTTAGGGTTAGAAGATACTATTCAAGAAGTATGATTCAATGAGAAAAGTTTAGAAAGTCAAAACTAGAGGTGTTGAAGAATCCAGAAGATTAGGATTTGAGAGAACACAAAGAATAAATGCACCGGCTCCATTGCGAACGATTTTGAGCCATGTCATTCAAGGTCTCTAGCCATCGATTATTATCATCTCGCGGAACCCAACCAGGTAGTCGACAATTACCGACATGGATAAGTCCACTCGTCAGTGACTTCATGGATTTCTGCCATGTTTTGGTTTGGTCGCCCCTAACTTTCTTCCAACCTATTCCTACACTACAAAACAAAGCTTGTCGAGGCAGTCGGTGGTTAGGCCTACGCAACACATGTCCCAACCACCTCAACTGATGAAGTTTCATTACTTCATCTATTAATCTGCCATTCTTACCTAGCACCCGATTCCTAATAGCAACGTTGCTCACTCGGGTGTCCCACGATATACATCCAAACAATTTCCCCGGTATAAAATCGATAGTTGAAACCACTAAACGTATTCACATAAATAAAACGAACAGATACTATACATATAAAGAACTAACCATTTCGAAGACATTTGGTGAAAGCGGTGTTCTTTGACAATGTTTTGAAATTGCAGTACTACTTACGGTGATACTATTGGAGCACGATTTATCGCATGAAAAAGAAGAGCTTTTCAGTTGTTCACATGCAATTGATACTGTATTGCAGCAAGTAGTAGATGGCAACTGAGGAACTGAAGAGGTTGTAAAACATTTCTTATTATTATCATCAGAAGAGAATATTGTTGAGACACAATTTGCATTAATGTTAGAATCTGTTAAGGAAAAATAACGTATAAAGAAAGACTGGTAATTGAGATTGAACAATTAGTGCAGCATAATAAAATCAGCCAGTCATGAACAATGTATGATGCTGTACAAACAAACTGTGCACACTGTCAACTCGTAAGAACCCAGACAAGGTAGTCTGGCACAAACGAACGGTCAGGAATCCGTGAGCAAGATAGAACCTAGAATATATTTGCATCAATTTAAGTTGCCACAACGCAACACATAAATATAAAATTACCAAGATAAATGCCAAAGTACTAGAAGTATTAACAGTATAAGCATAGACAATATGATTCAGGAAAAGGGGATGAAATCGTAGAATCAGAAAAGTCAAAGACAATCTTCAAAATTAGGAGCTAAATGAAAAGAGAGCATATTAACCAACACGATTAAGCCTAAAAGTTATTGACATTATCAATTGATCCCACATATCCGCTTAAATGCCTTTAGCTTAATCGCAAAAAAACAATGAATCTCAATGCAAAGTAGATTATTTAAGGCATATATATATATATATATATATATATATATTGAACTACACCTGAGTCTGTATTAGATGTGTATAACACCATAAATTATATCCCCTAGCTAGAGTATACTAGTGCTTGAAAATTAAAGGTAAAAAGGTATCTACTTTTAGCGGTTAATCAGTCTGTTTTCTACCTTCAGTAGGGCGGTCTTTTAATGTTTTGAGTATTTGACTTTCATACCTTGAGCTTTAAGTTTGACCCCCATCAACCCAATTCAGTATATATTACTAAATATTATACCGAAAGGAACTCAGAGCCAAGTTTGTTAACCTGGACTTAGTGAGTTGCTTAAAGGTAGTAAAATTTAATCCGGGGACTGGATTTTACCCTCTTGAATGAAAAACGTAAACTGGTTGTTTTAGTAAGTCAGTCAGTTACAACGTAGAACTTCGTACGTACGTTAGTTCAGGTTCCCATACCACATTAGCACACAGACGCAACTGTCAGTTCAAATTCAACAGTGATAGTGATAGTAGAAGTATTAGCAGAACTGGAGAAGATTAGGGAGCGAAGATATTATTCGAGAAGTATAATTCAGTGAGGTAAATTTAGGAGAAAGGTAGAGATTATGAAAAATTCAGAAGGTTAGAATTAGAGAGAACACAAACAGTGGATGCACCTGCGCCATTGCAAACGATTTTGAGCCATATCGTTCAAGGTCTCTAACCACTGGTGACTTTCGTCTCGCGGACGCCAACCAGGTAGCCTACATCTACCAACATAACTTAGTCCACTGGTTGTTTTAAGAACTATCTAACGCTGTAATTATTAATGCAAATAACTGTCAACAAAGACCAGATATATAGAATGTATACTAACTGGGTAAATAGATAAGTATGACAGCATATGTTAAACTTAGTCTACTAAACTAGCTTCCGGGATGCATGCACCTGTGCTACTGTAATTGAGTTAGACCCAAATCCTCTGAAGTTATAACCACAACTACAACTATTTTGTGGAATTACATAGGTAAGTGTGAGCCTCTTTTCAGAGTTCAGATTTATGAATTTCAGGTTTATGAAGTCTTAGATTTAGATCTTCGTGGTAGTGGACATAGTTAAGTACTCAGTTTTCAAGATTTGGGACGCAGGTCATACAAAACCAACCTCAGTTTGGGTAGACTGGTAGGAAAAAACTTTCCCTCACAGAGTGACTCGACGCTGAAAATTTACTAATTAAACTAATTTTAGGCTTTAACTAACTGTGACATTTGTACTCGAAAGTGATTTTCAGCACCAGATTTGATTTTCCAAATACAATACATTCGTTTGTGCCTATGCAGTTTTTCATTAATTTAGTACTGGTTCATACGTGACTACTAGATAACGAATTGGAAGTTTCTGGATATTACTAGCTAGTATACGGAACAAATTTACTCCTGATTACCGTAAGGTTATAAATTCTATAGATCCTTTCAATGGTTTATTTAGTTTTCCCGTAAAAATAAAGGGATTCACACTGTTAATTAAAATAGATATCAACAACTCACGCGACATTGAATTAGTATCACGGGAAGACTCATTATTCAAGAACCACTCGTGGATGTCACCAGGGAACTGAGACGTATGCACCTCATTTGGCTGATGCAATCCATAGCTATCATTACTAAGATTTAAACTTAAGTTACTACTGCTTGTACTTCCATCTCCAGTACGCAGAAGTCTATTTGCGATATGACCATTAATATCGGTTTGCTTCAATCCGATTCCACAAACAGGTGCAAGATTCAATCCACTATCTCCAAGCTCACTGACTCCGTTAGATTGGATAGGACTATGAAGTGAATGCTCAATAGCACTATCAGAACACAAATCAACAACTAAGGGTGTAGAAATTGTCTGAAATATAGAATCAAGACCAGTTGAGGGGCGATTGAGACAAGAATCCTTGACATTATTTGATAGGGTAGCAATCGAAAAGTGAGCAGTAACCTACCAAGAGATGAAAATTCAAAAACTTTAAAAACTATTACATACCATTTAATGTTTTTTGAATCTAAAGTTGGTACAATATGCATTAAAAGGGATCTATTACATGGCTTACGAAAATATAAAGAAGAGTGAAAAGGGTGGCGTAATATGCAGAAAAAACACGCCGTGTTTTTGAACATTTTTAATTGTTCTTCTTTTTGATTGATTGAAACTAGAACACTTTACACCGTGTTAGAATTTCAAACATACCACATTACCCAAAGCAATACATTTAACCCCTTGAACTTTATACTACTAGTTGGTGAGAACTAACAAGTGCTAACTTAACGAAAACTGACAACCGGTATTTCCTATGCCAGTTATAGGTATAGGAATAATTGGGAAATAGAACAAGTAATACGAGCACGATTCTGCTTGACACTTTAATGGTCTATCTAAAGCAGTAATAAGCCACCTGGATATATAAACACTTAGATGGGGAGTTAAGATATGTATTCATATTATAATATAGGTAATATTTGGAATGTCAATAAATGGACAAAGTACGTCTTGTAAGATGTTCATGCATTTTCTTGGCAGTTAGCGAAATATGTGGTAGCCAACTTTCTCTGAATAAAGTAATTAAGGTAATATTACATCATAACGATAAGAAAAATGGAAAACCTACCATTTCACGATCGTCTACTACATCGCAAACCAAATCATCCCAATCAAGCATACCACCATCTCTGGCCACATTGATGCTGTGGACAACAATGCGATCCTGAGGTCCAAGCTAAAAAATGATCAATTAAACCGAATGTCATTTTAAGGACAGCTTGTGTGCTCGCAGTAGTACATCAGAATAGCGATAAAATTTCCAAAGCAGACGGAAAAGGAAATTAGGGAGAACTTTCAGGAATTTTTAAATGATCCATGAGTAAACTTTAAGATGTATATATGAGATAATGAACCAAATTATCGCCTTTCTCTACAAACCGGGATAAAAAGTGTGCTTAATCCCTCAATACTGATCCGTTTGTGAGAAAGCATTCCAAAATTATTGCTTTAATCTCACCCAAAATTTACAATCTCAATGACGTAAATGTATTTTTGGGATAAACAACATATTCCCTATTATTCTCCTCTTTAAGTTGAATGAGATTCATGTAAAAATTGAAAAACAAACCTTCGGTAAAGTATGCCTGACTCGCTTTAAACCACTAAGAGTCAAGTCTCTAACCGTCAAGTTCCCTGAACCACAAGGAACCACGATCTTTGTGTCTCCAAAACAGACCGTCAACTTCATGTTCCATTTCTAGTCAAAATGACCTTGGGAAAGACAGCTGTGGGATTTTTCCCCAATGACCTTCGACAAGATTAACCATATTTCAATATCCAATATATTTTCCACTAGCTAGAATAAATCCACTCAGTTCTTTCATTATTGTTCCAGGTATTTCTTGTTGTCCGATGGATGGTAGTCTAGCCACTCGACTGCACTAATTCTAGTCGGCTAGCAGCTGTTCGTGAATTTGTACGTCCCGTGATTTAAATGAGTACATTTGTCTCAGAGAAGTAGCTTTTCTGAATGCCAGCAGTTACCATGTTACCAGGATGGAGATAATCGAATGATAAGGCGAAATTTCTAACGCTAATGAGAAGACTTCAGAAATGAGTAAATAAAGGGATCAATAAGTTAACTAATTGGTAATAAAGATTGTGCGAGAGGATCGAAGTGTAAGCAAGGAGAAGGAAACAGAGATCATAAGCGAGAAATAATATGGTAGTGATCTAAGGAAATGTCAGTAATAGCAACTAATCCGTTTGTGAATACGCAGTTATCAAGTTCCTTCCTGAAGCTATCACCTGAGAATTCTGTGGTCACCCCGGCTATGAAAGCATTCCAAATATAGAAAGCTCTTAATGAGTAAACGTTTACATGAAACTGGGTGCTAATTCCTTGACGTGTAGTTTTTTGCAGATTGCGTCGAAGGGACGTTGTGAAGATGTTTCTACAAGATGCTTGTGTTGGAATGATTCGGAGGATTAAATATATTGCATTCCATCATCGGATCATCTCTGATTCCATTATAACTCAGACGGAATAACATCAAGTATTGAGGTCTATTTTCGTTTGGTCTGTTCTTCAAACTCATCACCTATTTCTCGTTTAAGGAGATGGAGTGCAACGACGTTGTGAACATTCAGTTGTGGGTGCGCGTTTGTTTTAAGAAATATTTGGAATAATTCTAGTGTGCAACAAGTAGCTTTCGCATAAAACGAAGAAACCTGTTTGTTTTGGTGGCATCCCCAGTGTAATTTAAAGCCCTGTTCAGGTGTCCTGTGGTCATGGAACTTGGATCAGGATCTGGGGAGATTTTATGGAGCGGACTGCTATTGAGGAAAGATGTTGTTTGCGTCACGTGGAGCAGAATTTTCACAGCGTGGCATTTCTGACACTTATGTTTTCACCTGTTTCTTCCACCCATACCTCAGTTCAGCTCAGTTGGATACTCTTCACTCCTTATCAAGCTCCTTATATTTCAGTCGGATGTGTAGACCGGAGCCGTTTAGCTAATTTCATCTGACAGGTCATTATTGAGTAACAGGAAAAAGAGGGAACCTGTGAAACTCCTGATGGTGAGACTTCTCAGCTCGCATGCACTATGTTTCACTTCATTCGAAACTTTACATTCTCAAGATGGTCTCTGAGCTATGATAGAAGTGAATCGCAGCCTTCGCAATTAGGAGTACGTGTGGCATCGAGTCGAAAGCTTTTGCGGGTGGGTGCCTAAACAGATCACGTACCGATGCTTATTTGGGACATGGCCAATTGTTTTACCCCTGGCGAGACACATCTGCCTGCCTCATGCAGAAGAACTGTCTTGACATTTGTATTAAAAATTCTGACTTTGGTGTTTGTTGACAGTTGTTTTGAGTTACAGATGTTGTTCAATGGTAGAAATGCAGCCCTTGCCTTGCCGATCCGCACCTTCCTATCTGCATCACATCCATCTTAATGTCGATGATGCTGCCCAGATATGTAAAGGTGTTAACGTCCTACAATGCATCTCAATAAAGAGTGGTTAGGTTGGTACATGTTGTGTTACATTGGAGAATCTTGCTTTTCCCCTTATATATATTGAGTCTTACTGAGGTTGCTGATAAACATGTCGTCTTCTCTTGTATTTGTTGTTGCGTGTGCGATAGATGAGCCAGATCATTTGTGAAGTCCAGATTGTCCAGTTGTATCCTAGCTGTCCATTGGATACCGTGCTCCACTCCAGTTATTGGCGTCTTCATAACCCAGTCGATCACCAGGAGAAAGAGAGTGTGCGAGTAAGAAACCTTGCCTGACACCAGTATTCATCTTGAACGAGTAGTCAGCTAACCTACGAAAACAATTCTGCAATATAATCCATCATAAGAATTCCGTATGATGTTGGCTATCTCCTCAAGCACGTCGTAGTGTCGAGGAACCACCCACGTTATCGAATGATTTCTCGTAGTCGATGAAGTTGATGTAGAGTGGTGAGTTCCATTCAATTGATTGTTCCACAATGATCCGTAATGTAGCAATTTGGTCAGTACACGATCGATCCTTACGAAATACAACCTGTTGATCTCGAAGTTGGGCGTCTACGAAGTCCTACATTCTGTTTAACAATACTTTGCTGAAGACTTTGCCTTGTATCGAAAGAAGAGTGATGCCTCTGTAGTTCTCACACTTGCTCAGGTCGCCTTTCTTTGGTATTTTGATGAGGTATCCTTCTTTCCAGTCTGATGGTACTTGTTCCTCATCCCAAATCTTCTTGAAGAGAATGTGAAATATTTTCGCAGTTGCTTCTACATCTGCTTTGATTGCCTCTGCTGGAATGTTGTCTGGTCCTGCTGCTTTGCCGTTCTTGATTTGTCTGATGGCCATACTGATCTCCTCAATCGTAGGTGCGCCAATATTAATTGGGAGGTCCGTGGATGCTGCTTCGATGTTGGGTGTGTTCAGCGGAGCTGGTCAATTCAGGAGTTCCTTAAAGTGCTCTACCCTCCTATTTCGCTGTTATTCAGTGTTGCTGATTACTTTGCCTTCCTTACTTTTAACTGGTTGTTCTGTTTTACTATGGTTTCCAGTGAGCTTATTTTGTTGTACTGTACAATTTTCTCAAGTTTCCGTCTCTTGCAGCCTTTTCCGCCGTCATTGCTAGATCTTCCACATATTTTCGTTTGTCAGCTCTGATGCTCTTCTTCACTTTCCTGTTTGCTTCTGTGTATTCAGCTTAAACCTTGGCTTTCTCTGCTCTTGTTCGGTCAACGTTGATTTCTGCCCTCTTGTTCCCCCTTCAAATTTTTCAAGGGTATCAATAGAGATCCACCCCTTGTGTTGGTGGTCCTTGTAGCATAAAACCTAATATATTAAAACCTCACATATTAGTACACACAGGTGGCCACATTCAAGTATCCTAAGAGGTCAGAACGCCAGTAAAGTATCTATGTAATCAGAAACGTCTGTAAGTTTGGCATTCAGAAATATCGAAATTGATACTTGCGGAAATTCCAAGTTCTATACGGTATCAAAATTCGAAGTATTCGAAGAATTCGCACTACGAATGACTGTGAACATTCCAAATGAATTATTTAGTTTTTCATCTGCCTGTGTATGATGCTCCGATTCGTAAACGTGAATACGTTCGTTTCTGCCTTTTTCAGGAACATCACTGAGGTGATCGGAATATGATTATACGACCTGGTTAGTTCACGTAAATAGCGGAAGCTAACATATGATTGTTAACTTTTATCGAATATGCTGGACTAGATACCATTCACCCACTGCGTTCCTGATAGGACCTTGCTGATCATCAGAAGGCCTGATTTCTCCAGTGTGTGAAATTTACTAACTAATGCAATACGAATGGCCACGAGTAGTAGCGAATTCTGCTCGAAATGTCCTAGTATACTAGGAGATTACCATGCGACTTGGGAGTCGTACATTTTTTTCAAACTTCACACTATTCAACATTGGTGCTGGTGCCGCATTCTTGACTTTTCACAAATAACTGCTTTGGTCGTTAGGTATATCGTTCACCATCGCTATGACTGCTAGAAGGTCGTCGATATACAAATGTCCTAGCGTACCTCCAATAGTTTATCTAATGAGGTACCGAAAATTCTATTCTTTATTGGTCACTTTGAATGGAACGGGCAAAAAATTAAATGGAGGTTGGACACAAAAATGGTTCATCAAGATTACGAAATCAAACAGAAGCTGAAAAATACTTTAATATTCCAGGGTCGAACAATGTCAGAGTGTCTTCAGCTAGTTGGTTTACAACAGTGAACATAGCTAGTCCACGTCAGACGTTTACGAAGGTAATAAGGTTTATAAATTAACCACTTTACAACCTGCAAACACAACTGCTCATAGACTGTGATGGGGTAAAATTGACTTGGAATGGAATAATTAAACAAACCACTACTATGCAACAGAAAAATCTCAATCAAACCACCCAGCTCAGAATAGCTAAAGTTACCAAGCATGAAATTTAAAGCTACATATCTCCATCACTTAAAAGCGACCAATATAATAATAAAAGTGGTGAGAAGATTCACATTTTTTCCATAATTAATAACATGACTGAAAAAGTCCTGCGCTTTTAATTCAGCTATTGAATGTTCAACACACCTTTAAACATACTAATCTGGACTTGTATCCGCACCAGCTTCGCAGAGTACATTCGAATTTCGGCCCCTATCTACGTGATGTTGGGTTCAGGACTGTAAGTTGATGGCTTATGAGTGTATAAGTTATTTAATTTAGGTCTTTTGGAGGTCAGTCATTCCACGGAGTATCTTCTGTCTCAAGGTTCGGTGAGGCTTCTCCATATCATCCGAATGCACCACTCTCCGTGTACCCACGTTCGTTTCTAGAACATGTTGTTAGCCTGGACATCGATCACGAACCTGCTTTTGTCCGAAATACTGGAATAATATGTACTATCGGTAAGTGACTGTGAAAGTCTGCCTGTGTGACTTTAAAAGGGGGTTTGTTTCATATATGGTACTAAGAATTATGGTATCTATATTTTGAGCATTTACATAGTTTTAAAGATGTCCCACTTGCAGTCATGGTCAAAGCCATTCTTTTTTGTCTTTCGCATAGAAGTTTACGATTATCAACTGAGTGTTGAACTAATTAGTATCTCGAGTTCTCATTCGGGACATCGTCTGCTACCGTATCCCTCTCACCTAGTTCATCAGGAAGCCGCTTCTATAACAAATTTCTGCTGGTTGACAAATCACACTTGTGGTTTAATATACCCTGTTAGTCGGCTCCTTCGTAACTATCATCTCGCGGCTCCCAAGCGAGTAGTTTACACCTACTGATACGATTCAGTGACTTCATGGATTCGTGCCATGTTTTGGTTTGGCTCTCCCTAGCTTTCTTCCAACCTACTCCTACACCACAAAACAGCTCATCTAGGCAGTTGGTGGTTAGCCATACATAAAACGTGTCACAATTATCTCCACTAGTGAAATCTCACTACTTCGTCTATTGATTTTCCATCCGTCTAGTATTCGTTTCCTAAC